TGCTCTGCATGGATATCGTACCACGACACATACTTCAACAGGGGCAACCCCATTTTCTTTGGTATACGGCATGGAAGTTGTTCTACCCATGGAGGTTCAGATTCCTTCCTTGAGGATTATGAAGGATGCCGGTTTGAGTGAAGATGATTGGATTCAGACCCTACTTGATCAACTTAATTTGATCGACGAGAAACGACTTACTGCTATTTGTCATGGTCAGACGTATCAAAAACAGATGATCAAGGCTTTCAACAAGAAAGTCAGGCGTCAAGTATATCAAGTCGGAGATCTTGTAATCAAGCGGATCATCTTGCCGCATAGTGATCCCATGGGCAAGTGGACTCCTACTTACGAAGGACCATTTGTGATCAAGAGCATCTTTTTTGGTGGGGCAATGATTCTGACCACCATGGACGGCGACGACTTGCCGCACCCTGCGAATGCAGACATAGTCAAAAGATACTACGCATAAAATAACCCGACAAGTTGAAAACCCGAAAGGGAGACTTGGGTAAAAATGGGCATCCCGGTGAATCGAAAACCCGAAAGGGAGGCTCAGGCAAGAATTAGGGATAAAACAAAAAATCTGTACACCCGGCAAGTTGAAAATCCGAAAGGGCGACTTGGGTAAAAAAGGGTTTCCCGGTGGATCGAAAACCCGAAAGGGCGGTCCAGGAAAAAGTTAGGGAATTAAAGCGTATGACTATGTCTCGTCGGATCACTTTAAGAACAATCTCTTCACCAACAAAGCTCCAAGCTACTGATCAATCCAATCATCGGCGGATGAAGCAGCGAATGGACAAGATACTCAGAGTTGTGAAGGCTATAGCGGAATGGGAATCCTATGGAATTATTACACATAGCCATCTTTCTCTTGTATAAAATTTTTCTCATTTTTTTACGACAACATTCTCTTACTAGGATGTCTGTCTCCTTTGTTCAAAGACACTTACAAAAGTTAATACAAAAATACTTCAAAGAGCAGAAATTTGCTTTCCTTTCTTTCTTTTTACACTTATGTTTTTATTTGAAAACGTCCAAAGTTTTGTTAAATAGGCATATGCATTTGAATATAATCACTGCTTACAAATAAAACAAAATTGAGAAAAGATAGTTACTGATAGGTTGAAGGTGTAGGAAGATATCTTGGTGCCATTCCAAAAGAAATCCCCTGCTATACTTTGTTCAGATCCTCAACAAATCCAAAGTCTTAAAGTATGTGTCCCTAGCGGAGTTAAACTTCAAGATCCACAACGGAGCCCGAAAACCCTGAAATACCTTACCCCAACGGAGCCAGAGTATTCTAAACCTTCTTCCCCAGCGAAGTCAAATTTCCAACCATCAATCCCCGGTGGGAACTTTTCAACTTCCCTCAATTACCCCAGCAGGCTATCTTAAAAGTCTGAGATCCAAGATGATAACGGTTAACTTCTTGTCTTATTCCCAACTAGGATGCTTCCCCAGTAGTTTGGCATACAACCCAAAGCTCCTGATTTCACCGGCCGAGTAAGCATTCTCCCCACAAAGTTATCTCTCAATAGATCGAAGATTCTCGGTCTCATTTCTCCAAGCTGAAGCCTCCCAGGTTTTAATTCCCCAGTAGAGATTTTTAGAGTTTTCCCTATTCCCAGGAAAGTCATGAAGGATTCTCATTCCCTACAGAAGTTGTCAAAGGCCTTGTTAATCCCCACAAATCGCCAAGGATTTTCAATCTCCGACAGTGGTCCCAGGATTTCTCCTTCTCAAACAAACAGAGATCTTTAAACCCCAAACGGTCGGCAAGGATCTCTCATCTTCAGAAATCAAAGAGTTTTAAATCCTCAGCATCGGTCAAGGATTTACTTTCCCCAGCAGCAGCCAATGATTTATTTGCCTCAGCAAGACAACCACTCGGCTTACATGACCGTCCATTACATTCATATATCATAAACATTGATGAAACGCAGTTCATTGCATCATACATATCATGCAACATAACTTTGTGTTTTAGCTAACATTTTATCCTTTTCAGGATAAGATTAAAAGGCTATTGTTAACAATTTCACTGAAACAATATGGATACACCCCAGACACGGCGGTCATTCTATCACTCATTCACAATTTCAAGTCAAAATACAGTACGGATACACCCCAGACACGGCGGTCATTCTACTACTCATTCAGACTTCAGCAATCCGATACAGACTAGATACGCTCCAGACACGACAGCCATTCTATCTCTCATTCAGATTCAACTATCAATTATCAGTTCAGATACGCTCCAGACACGGATGCCATTCTGGCCCTTACACCAGAAGTTTGATTCTCCCCAGTGAAGTCGCCTCGGAAGTCATTCTGTCACTTACTCAGATCCCAGTTACAGTTTCAGATACACTCCAGACATGGAATTCATTCTGCTACTCATACAGATCTCAACTTCAGATACAGTCCAGACACGGTTGCCATTCGTCCACTCATTCAGAACTTATCCCCAGCACACAGTTGCCCCATATACATATGTTTCTCTGTTACCCATTCAGAATACAGATACACCCCAGACATGGCAGTCATTCTGATATTCATTCGCCATATCTCAACTTCAGTTACAGCTAGGATACGCTCCATACATGGATGCCATTCTTTTGCTCATACAGACTCAGTCTCCAGATACAGTTCAAATGCATTCCAGACACGAATACCATTTTGATGCTCATTCTTCTGACCTACCACATTGCAATGCAACAAACATTCTTAGATGGCATCTTTAAGCCCATCTCCAGCAAGATTCCACCCTCTCCAAATGGCATCTTTAAGCCCATTCCCTCAGCTATATTTTGACGAGTGCAAATTTACGGGCACTCTAGTGTCCAATCCTCTTTTACCTTCGAGTCGCGAAAGGCAAACTTGCCAATCTAACTCTTCAGGTATAAGAAGATTGAACAGGGGAAACTGTTGTATCCCAAAATTTTCCCTCTCATTTCATCAACATTTCTCATCACAAGACTCTGGGAACTCAAGATCAAGCTAGGGTTTGCTCTGCTCAAGACACCTCCTTGCATTGTTGACCTAAATTAGGGTTTGAGTTTCCACAGGGATGTTTTGACCTACAATGCCCAAAGTTACTTTCATACTTCATGTTGGACTCACAAGTTTGTCCATACCAAGTTTCAAGCCTTGATTCAAATTTTTGCCCAATCAATTGGACAGTTGACCTAGAAATCAGTTGTATTGGGGAAAAAGTCAAATGTGGCCAATTGACAGTCAAACTTCATGAATTTTGACCCACATCAACATTATGAACTCATATGAACCATTTGATCAAGTTTGGATAACAATTCCACAAGAAATTTGATCAAATCACCAAAAGGGCAAAATGGTCATTTTTAGGGTTTTGACTGCACAAAGGCAATTTCTAACTGTTTGACCTAGACAATGGCAAATAAAGCTCAACCATGGACACAAGGACTCAATGACGTTGTCTTAACCCATTCAACAACTTCAAAAGATCTCAAATGCATGAGATTGACAGATGAATTTTTCAGTCAACTGATCAAAATTTGACTGTACACTGAAAAGTCAAACTTTGACTTTTTGGTCAAAATCAAGTGCCAAGGGTCATTTTTCATCAAGACATGTCAAATTACAAAACTTGTTCATCAAGAAACCCAAAATTGCAAATTAGGGTTCAAAATGGAAAATTTTCACAACTTAGAAATTTTCTAAGTTATAAAATTTTCTTATTTTTTCCTAACTTTGTCCCATATGTTTCACCAAGATGAAAATGGATTCAAACAAAACTTATAACATGAAAGTTGTATTCCATCACAAAGTCTACAACTTTGATTCACAAAGTTTTCTCAAAAGATGCTTGGATCTCAAGTTATGATTTTTGGAACAAGGGTACCTAAAACTTTTAACTTAGAGAAATTTTGCCCTAGTTTAGGCAGGATTTTAACCCATCTTCTTGGACATTTTTCACATAGTTCCACTTGGATTATAGTACATGTTGTAAGCTTTCCAAATTGTCCAAGAACTCCTCAAACACCTTTGTGGTTAGGGAGAATCGAATGCTTGAAGTTGGCAAAAACTCACTTTGTAACCATGGCCAATACATGTTCATACCACTTGCCAAATCTGACCAAGCTAGCTTAGTTCACAATTACACGCCTCTAAACCAATTTGTACTCAATAATTAAATGCAAATACATTATCCTAAGGTTTTGTTTTGGACATTAGAGGATTATACACTAGATTAATCCAAAAATAGTAAAAGGTAACTTTGTCATTTTTGTCAAAATCTTGCTTTATGTCAAAGTGAATCCTTGAGCCTTGAACAAGATCTTAGGCTGAAAACCAAATCCACAAAACTTGGGGCCAATCTTACACAATGTATGTAGGGTTAGAGCTAGCCTGTACAGGCCTGCTCTTTGTCACTTCTCATTTTACTTCATAACCAAGAACTTGTCAAACACAAGACGTCTCACATATCTGATAAAACTAACTCAAGCAAAGTTATCAA